GAATGTGGAAGAGCACGAGAATGAGGAGGACCAGCGTAAACACAAGCAACGATGTTACAATTCAACCCTCCCTCCAAGTTCCCTCGTCATAGGGCCTTGAACGGAGTCGTAGTCCCTCGTCATAGATCTCCCGTCGTCGAGGGTTTCGAAGGGCCTCCAGACGCTTCCAGAGGTCTTTGGAGACCTCCTGAGGTCTCCAGAGACCTCCGGATACCTTCAGAGGCGGCCGTCGTCGTCCTCGTCGTCGTCGTGTTCGTCCTCGTCCTCGTCCTCGTTGTCGTCCTCGTCGTGGCCAGGGTCCTCGAAGGGCCCCCAGACGCGTCCAGAGGCCTCCAGAGACCTCCAGAGATTTCCAAAGGCGTCCATCGTCCTCGTTGTCGTCGTCGCCGTCGTCGTGGTCGTGGTCGTCGTCGTCGTCGTCGTCGTCTTCCCCGTCGTCGCGCAATACTTCGGCGATGTGGTGCACGTTGCCGCGGCGGTGCATACTGTGCTGCGCAGTGTGGTGCTTGATGTCATGCGCACAGGCGGTGTGGTGCTGGAGCGACACGGCGAATGTGGCATTACGTTCTGCCCCCCTTCCCCACCTCCCCACCCCATAACGCTCGTTATGTCCACGAATGCAAAAAATACGCTCGAGGAGCACCCCCCAAAGAGAGCGGCCCGTTCGGCGGAGGTCAGCAAGGTTCTCCATGACTACGATCTCCTCAGCCCGGGTCTGGCGCCTTAGGCAGACGAGCCCGCGTTCGAAGGAACGCTCACGCAGGTGGCGACGGCCGCGGACATCAGCGCGGAAGAAGCGCCGCCGAGGGAGCTCGTTGACCAGACGGCGGACGAGGAACAGGCGCAGAAGCGGCTGATGGCGCTCCACGGTTGCCCTGGACGGGCCGTGCTGCACGACGTCGCGGCAAGACTCGGGGCGGTGTTTTGTTCAGGGGGCGCACGAAGCCCCCCTGCCGCCAGGGGCCAGCGCCACGGCGGGGACCAGCTTCGCGCGGAGGTGCCGCGCGGCGACGGGGCAGGGCCGCCAAGGGTTGAAGGCACGAGAGGGGGCCCGATAGAAACCTCGAGGATCAACCTACGGGATGAGTGGGGAGCCCCCTCCCTGGAGACGGCGCCATCCTGCTGGGAACCCGAGCGGGCAAAGGGCAACATCACGGGCTGCACGCGCATCAACGCGGAGCGGGCGCACGTACGCGCAGCGGAGACGATGTGCGGATCTGTTTCGCGCGCACACTGCGTCCCGGGGCCCGACGCGATCGCGCGCTTCATCGACCACGCGCACGCCAGGGCTGCCGAGCCGCGGGGCCGACAGTGCCCAGCCGAATGCGGCGCGCGGTGGTGGGGACGGAGCACGTGGCGGGCATGGACCTGAACATTCGGCTCCCTGCTCCGCCTGAAGCCCTCCAGGTCGTCGCGAACGTGAAGACGCTCCTCGGCGCTGCTGGCGCACGCAAGGGCCAGCCGTGGGACCCCCCCCATCAGGGAGGTGGGTGCGAGCGCGAGCAGCGGCGGGGCTCCACGAGACCCTTCGGGACGGGGGCCCAGCCCGCGCGCTGGCGCGCCACCCCCAACCCCCACCCACCCCGCCCCCCGCCCCACCCCAACCCACAGCCGCAAACGCAGCGCAGCGGCTCGCCAGGAATCGCGAATACAGGTGGGGCCTGCTGGCCCGCGAGCTCGCCGGCGAGATCCACGGCAACGCCGTCGGCACCTTCCTGGCAGATCCACAGTCTCAGACTGAGGGGCCAGGCTGTTCGGAGCCAGACTACGGATGGTCTCCCGCCTGGTGGGCAACGGGTGGCCCGCGGAGCAGCTCGCCGATGCCAGCGGCCTGGAGGCGCTCGGGACGAAGCGGCGCGGGGGATTGGCAACATTCTGTATTACCGTTTTTCTCGGCGCTTTCGGTTTCCCAGTGCAGAGGGCCAGGGCGCGGGGCGGTCTCGAGGTGGGCGGGATCGGCCTCAGCTTCGACCGCACCACTCATGCCATGGGCCTCTCGGGGGCGCGGGCAGCTCGGGTAGCAGCATGGCGCGGGGGGGCGGTCGAACGCGGCGCTATCCACAGGAGCGGGGGGGCGGCAGGCTGGAGCGCCTGGGCCTCGCGGCGATGGCCCTTGTCTGGGAGAGGCCACTCCCGGAGCCGTCGCGCGCCTGGCCCGCCAGCGGCGTGAGAGCACAAGAAGGAGGCCCGCCCTACCGCGGGTAGCAAGGCCCACGCTGACGCGAATCAGAAAGCGACGATTACAGCGCGAAGACTGGAGGCGCCCAGCAAGTTCAAAACCGAGGGCGCCAGGCACTTCCACTCGGATGCGAAGGCGGAGGGAGGGCGCTGCTGGGCAGGCAGGCGAGTGGGAAGCACCGCCAGACGGCGGCGCGCAAGGAGGTCGTCGGCGCGCGCTGGCAGTAGAGAAGGAATGGTTCCCTTCGGAGTGTGCAAGTCAGACGACCCGAACAGGGCCATCGTGGCGCTGGAGCTCCTCATCGCCATCCTCCGCGCGATGCTGCTCCCCAGGCCCAGGGGGCCCCGCCAGAGGGCGATCCGCAAGATGGCGGGGCCGACGGACGACATGGGGAACGCCTGCGCAGGTCCACGGCAAGGTCGAACGAGCGGCCGGCGACGGCCCTCCTGGTTGAGTTCCTGCAGGGGCGGGGGTCACGCAAGATGGCGCTGAGCCTGGACCAGCTACCGCGCGAGGGGAAGCAGGAGGCAGACGACCCTTGCAACTTGAAGACGACGGACCTCGACGAGCCCCTCAGGACCCACGCGGCGGCGGCGGACCTGAGGGGCGCGTGCTCGACGAGACGACGCTGGCCGCCCAAGAGCTCCACGCGTCCGTCGTCGAGGGGGGCGCGGCCGCCTTCGGGGGGCACCTGCAGCTGGGCACAGCCGCGGGAGCAACGAACGACGCTCGCCTCGAGCAACGGCGACAGCCCCGCTCAGTGCACCTCGTGCGACGTCGAGCGGGCGGGGTTAGAGCGCTTGCAGCAAGGCCCTGGCATGAGGGCACTGGCGAGGAGGCGGCAGCCCGCGCGCGGGCCAGGAAGCCGCGCCCGCCGCGGCACCGCGGGGTCAGTTGCAGCGCAGGACAGCTCGGAATACACCCCCGCTCAGGGGCCACCGGCCGTTCGCCCTGGGCTGCGCCCCGGGCGTGGCTTGTCGGTGCCCCCCGCGCAGAGAGGGCCCCCGAGCGGTGGCATGGCGTGCTTACGGGATAATCTCGAACCCCGCCCTCCAGTGGGCCCCTTCGCGGCGGGGGGCCCCCTCCTTCCTTCGGGGCCCCCCTTCCGCCGCGGGCGGGGTGCGGGGGTCCTGGCAGGTGGGGGGCCTCAACTGCGGAAGGCCCTATGAAGGTTGGGTCGGGCTTCGAGACCGCGCCTCTCGGCCACTGCGCGCGTGCGAGCGGCAACCAATGGTGACGACGTCGTAAAATGAGGCAGACTGAAGGAGCGAGGTGAGAACGCGGTCGGGCCCTCGCCGCTCGCAGCGTCCGGGGAGGGCCCCTGGCATCCCCCTCTCACCTCCGGATCTCCTCCCGCCCCCCGCGTTTTTACAATTCAACAGAAGGTGGCATCAAGTTTCTGGGAGTGGCAGGCGCCCCGCGAACAGGGCCCCGGGCACCGCCGCTCACAACGGGGGCAGCGCCGTCAACTCATTCACCTTGTTCTACCGCTGTCGCACGGCTCCGACGGCTCTGCGAGGGCACGCCCCCGCGTGTGCCAACACGAAAGCGCATCCTTTTCCTTGCCCGACGCTTGTGGCCATTTGGGCTCAGGCGCTCGGCCGTTTCAGAGTAACCCACCCACAACCACCCCGGGGCAACACATTCCCGGGAGTGACAGGTGGTTTGCGCACAAAAAACCCGGACCCAGCACCACCACCCATAAAAGAGGCATCACCGTCACTTTTGTTCGCCCCTTTTTTCTACCGCTATCGCACTGCTATTACGTAGTTGCCTCTTTGTCACGAGGATACTGCATCGTGTCAAAACGCCTTTCCGGGGAATTGGCCATGCGGATCCTTGAACATGACCGCGACGTCAATGCGACATCCACATGTTGGAAAAGAGCCGCTCGCCGTGAAGCGGCAGCTGCAAACTGTTACGGCGAATGTACACGACGGTAACGCGATATCCAACATTTTGAAAGCGCCCCACCCTCCATCTGTGAAGGTGTTGCGAACGTTCAAGACGAATACGCGCGGCTCCAAGGCGAGAGCATCATTTCGAAAACCTGCCGCCCTCCATCCGTGAAGCGGTTGCAATTTCAATCGCCAGGTTCACACATGGTGGGGAATTATCCGGCGGAGCGGCTGGCCCGCCCTACCGACACGTCTGGGGGTGCGGCATGGAGGAATTATGTATTACGAAAAACAGTTGACGGGATGAGGAGGAGGGATGGTGATCAGGACAAAGATGATGACCGTATGACCAGAAAGACGAGAGGGAGGAGAACGAGGCGGAAGCGGAGGAAGAGGCGGAGGGAGAGAAGGATCCGACGAAAGGGAAGGCGGAGGAGGAGGAGGAGGAGGAGGAGGAGGAGTCGGAAGTGAAAAAGGACGAAGCCCGGGCCGAGGACGAGGGCGATGACGAAGTGCAGGCGCAGAGCAATGAGGCCGATGGAGATGAGGAAGGGCAGAGGGGGGACACTCTCTTTTTTTTCCGAGGCGGGATGCTCCCCATGCTTCACATCGATCCCACCCCTCCTTCCTCAACCTGCCGTCCTTCCACCTACCCCTCCGCACAGACTGTTCCACCCTTGGGCTCTCACCGTTCCTCTTCTGTTTCGTTCCCTTCTCTCCTGCCCGAGCGGAGTCCTCTTCCTTCTCCCCTCTCCCGCCTCCTCTGCTCCTGCATGCCCCGCTTCGCCAATCCCCCCACGCATAAACACTTGCTCGCAGACCTATCGCCCCAGTGGCAGTTCCTCGTCTCTCCCAGGACTCACCCGAGGAACTCTTCAGTGGCGGCCGGCTTCGTCGTCGTCGTCGGCGGCTTCCCCGAGGTCCAAGGAAGGCGATTTTGCCGACAGAACCTCCGTGGGCCGAGGAGGCCGAGTCGCCCAGCACCCGTGTTCGTTCCCGTCCGATTGGCGGAGATGTCACAGCTCAGTCCTTGCAAGCACCGTCGGAGCCTCTGGGCCACCTTCTGCCCACGCGGTGGTGGAAGCGGTGCGCGGCGCGCTGAGATCCCACCGGTTGGCTCCCCCGCAGGCGCGCCGTGCCTGCTGTACTCCGCCTCGACGCGCGGCAGCAGGACCCTGAGGCGGCAGCGGGGCACCGAGCTCGCCGTGAGGGTGTCGTGCAGGAACGTCGCTGCCCTCGCCGGGCGGCACTTCCCAGGAGCGGTCCAGAGCAGTTGGCGCGAGGTGATCGCGAGAGGAGGAGGAGGAGGAGGAGGAGGAGGAGGAGGAGGAGGAGGAGGAGGAGGAGGAGAAGGAGGAGGTTGGTCGAGGATGAGGAGGAGGAGGAGGAGGAGGAGGAGAAGGTTGGAGGAAATGGGCGGGACAGATAGGATGGAGAAGAAGATGAAGAAAACAAATAATAGGAAGAGGATGGAGGAGGAGGAGGAGGAGGAGGAGGAGGAGGAAGAGGAGGATGAGAATGACGGAGAAGGAGGGATGATCATGGAGGAATTGATGGGAGAAGGTATGGCGAGGAGGAGCGGGCGCGCGAGGTGATCAAGCAGAACTTCAGGCCAACGTACGAGAGTCTGGCCAGCGTCGACCGCAGGCTCCTCACGCCCGAGGTCAGGGGACCACAGAGCCTACCCACACTTGACTGGTCGTCCTCATATTTCATATTCCGCCTTCATCCGCCCCATATGCGTCGTCCTCCCCCTCCTCATACCCGACCTCCACTTGTTCCCCATCGTCTCTGCCCTCCTCTCGTTCCTTCTCCTGCTCGTGATCCTCCTCATGCTCCCCGTTCTCCCCCACCTTGTATTCATCCTGCCTCGCCCCGTTCTATCATGACCTGTCCTGCGGGGAGCAGGTGACTGGCCAATCCCAGTGATCCCAGACAGCCGACGTCGTTTTTTTACAACGTGTCTCCCCAGAGTTCTGGATCCCTTCCCTGGGACTGGCTTTTCATCCTGAGTCGGTTCTTGACGGTCCCGGGGCGCAGTGAGGGCCCCCTGAAGGCCGAGAACGAGTGAGAATCACCTTCCGTCTCAACCTCTCACAGCGAAAGGAAATCGGACGTGGCTAGGACAAAGATACATCCGCTCCCGAGTGTTCCGGAACGTTCTCAGAGTTTTCTGGAATGCTTTGAGAAGGCCGCGGCGCCAAAGACATCCCCCAGAGCCGCCTGATCCCACAGATGTTCGATTCATTTTCACCCGGATGTATCTTTGTCCTGGCTTCGTCTTGTGTCAGGGATCCCTTGACCTTGGCTCCCCTTCCTCCCGCGCCCCCCTACCCCCCGCCACTACCCCCATTCCCCCCCTCTCCCTCCCCCCCTTCCACTACCCCCTCCCACTACCCCCATCCCTTTCCATTCCTTTCCCTCCCCCGCCCCCTCCGATCCCCCGAGCTACTACGAAGGCCCCTGTCGCTACTTTGCTCAGAGCCTCCGACTGCCACTCGCGGGAGGCATCTCGAGAAGTCTCGTGCCGCGCAGAGGCCCGAGGATCTGACGATGCGATCGGGGCCCTCGCAGTTTGGGTTGTCACCGCTCTTTGGTTCGCCTCGCGAAGTGGCCCATCGAATCGCCTCCTCCTCCTCCTCCTCCTCCTCGTCCTACTCAGCCTCGTCTGGGCCTCCTCCGGGCCCCCTCTGCGCTCCGCTGCTGTTTCCGCATGGCCTTGTCTTCGTTGTCGTCGTCCTCCTCCTCCTCCTCCTCCTCCTCCTCCTCCTCCTCCTCCTCCTCTTCCTCCACCTCCTCCTCGCCTCCTTCTCGCCCTTCTCCTCCATCCTCCTCCTCCTCCTCCTCCTCCTCCTCCGCCTCCTTCTCCCCCTACTTCAACCTCCTCCTCCTCCTCCTCCTCCTCCTCCTCCTCCGCCTCCGCCCTCCGCCTCCGCCTCCTCCTCCTCCTCCTCCTCCTCCTCCTCCTCCTCCAACCTCCTCCTCTCCTCCTCCTCCGCCTCCTTCCTCGCCCTCCTCCTCCAACCTCCTCCTCCGCCTCCTCCTCATCCTCCTCCTCCTCCTCCAACCTCATCCTTCTCCTCATCATCCTCCTCCTCCGCCTCCTCCTTCTCCTCCTCCTCCTCCTCCTCCGCCTCCGCCTCCGCCTCCGCCTTCTCCTCCTCCTCCTCCTCCTCCTCCTCCTCCTCCTCCTCCTCCTCACGTGGGCCACAGAGTACTACCATCGCGTACCTCCTCGACGCAGGGTGGAAGCCCGATTCGCCATCAGCGTGGACAACTCCCGACGGCAGTTCAGAGTGGCAGTTCAACACCATCAGCATGACAGGACATCCAGTAATAGACATACCCGAGGCCTTCTTCAACGAGTTTCGGAGCACCATCGAGACAAACATGTGGTCGGCCGCGGCGCAGCACTTCGGCGGAGCGGGCCTGGAGGCAGGAGTGTGCAATCACTCCTACCGACGCCTGCTCAAGGAGCTGGAGCAGGCGCCCGGCGGCCGACGCCTCGCGGGACCCCTCTTGGCGGCGGCAGCGGGCGCCGCTTGGCCCCGTCGTCGTCGCCGGACTCGTTGTCGGCAAGCGTTGGATGTTTAAAGTGTCCGAGGCGTAAGATTGCCCCAGAGACTAGTTTTCATCGTGTCTGGGGGTGCAGCTGCAGATCCCAGCACCCCGCGTATAAAGTTAGCGAAGATCCAGTAGCAAAGGCGTACACTCAGGCTGAGGCCGAGGAATGTGTTTGGACTCGAGGTTTGATCCCCAGGGCCTGGATGCAAGTTTCTGCTCCCCCCGAGGCCGAGCAGTGGGTATCGTCCAACAACCTCGACTTTGAAATCGTTGCCCAGAGTTCCCCAGGCAAGCCTGTTTTCGTTTTCGGTGACGCGAGCGGGGGGAAGGATACTCATCAGCCCCTCCTCCGCCGCGTTGGCCTAGGAATAGCAGTGTTCCAGGATGTTTCCAGTATGGATTTAAACCTCGGCTTGTGGAGCCCCCTCCCTGGCAGCAGGCAAACTCTGGTGAGAGGTGAGCTCTACTGTCTCATGTTTTGTATCCGTCAAGCGTCAGGCTCGGTCGTTTATGTCACGGACAACGATACCGTGAATGCAGGCTGGCACTTGAGACGCTGGTTGCACCCCACTGGGCCTGACGCAGACCTCTGGTGGCAGATAGGTCAGATGTTGCAGCAGCGAGGGGAAGCGATATCCTGCACCGTGCTTTTCGTTCACTCCCATTTGGAGGGTGAGCACATAGTCCAAGGAGTCGCCCCCCGTAATCTCGTGCTAGGTAGTATTTATGCAGCTAACTTTGCAGCGGCAGGAGCCGCTAAAGGCAGACTGCCAGAGGCAGAACGTGCACGCATACATTTAGTCGAACAGCAAGCTTTCGCAGTCCGCATGCGTATTCTCCAGAACACCCTTGAGGCCATCCTTGCTGAGGAAAACCTCGAGGCCGCCGAAGGGGGCCAGCGTAGGCGCAGGCGTCAGCAACATGTTTCTTCTGTTGTAAGGCCGCCAGCGGCCAGTGTTTGTGCCCTGTTCATGACCCAGCATTGCCTCAAGGAAAACTCCAAGAGCTGTTCCAGGTGTCAGGGTTTTACGTCTCATGCTCGCAAAACCGAGTGGATGAATTCACCATGTTTTTCCTTAATTAATGTGGACGGTGTTGTCTGGCGACCTCCCTCTGGCGCGCGGGTGCACATATCGGGGGGCTACGCTCACACATCACACATACTCAGATTCCATTCGGGGTTGGGCATCTGGTTTTGTACTGCATGCGGCTGTTTCGCTTCCGAACAGTTGAGACAGCTCGGAGCAGTGTGTAGTGATGTCGTTAATGGTGATCGTAGAGTGTGTCTTGATAGAATCACCCGCGGTCTCTGGCCTAAAGTTCGTAGTAAAGCCGAACTGGCCAGAAAGAAGCAGCAGGGGTAAGCTGCTACCAAGTAGCCGACACTGTCGCCATACCCAGAACTCCAGAACTCCTTCTCCTCCTCCTCCTCCTCCTCCTCCGCCTCCTTCTCCCCCTCCTCCTTCAACCTCCTCCTCCTCCTTCTCTTCCTCCTCCTCCGCCTCCGCCTCCGCCTCCGCCTCCGCCTCCTCCTCCTCCTCCAACCTCCTCCTCCTCCGCCTCCTTCTCGCCCTTCTCCTCCAACCTCCGCCTCCTCCTCCTCATCCTCCTCCTCCTCCTCCAACCTCCTCCTCCTCCTCCTCCTCCCTCCTCCTCCTCCTTCTCCTCCTCCTCCTTCTCCTCCTCCTCCTCCTCCCTCCTCCCGCCTCCGCCTCCGCCCGCCTCCGCCTCCTCCTCCTCCTCCTCCTCCTCCTCCTCCTCCTCCTCCTCCTCCTCCTCCTCCTCCTCCTCCTCCTCCTCCTCACCTTCGCCCTCCTCTGCATCCGCCCCTCCTGCCTCTCGGCCCCATCGAGCCTTCCTCCGCTCTTCCCCCCCCCTCGCCAGGACTCCCTGCGCGCAGAGATGGAGGCGCTGGACCCTGCAGAGCGGGAGGCGCTGCGTTCGATGCAGGCCGAGGCCGTCGCCTCCGCGGGGGCGCCCCTGGAGTGCAGTCCCAGCGAGGTGGCCCCCCCGGCCTGTCGAGGGCCGGCACGGCGCCTCGGGGGCCCCCAGACGGCGTGGTGCCCACACCGCTTGGTGAGTCGGTGGGCACCCAGGGCCGCCGCACCGTTTTGACGCGGGCCGCCGCACGGTTTTGAGGCCCAGGTCGTGCGCATCGGACGCCTCGGGCGACTGGGGCCTCCGAGGTCCCAAGGCCGCGCGGTGACGGGGCCGCCGCACGGTTTTGAGGCCCAGTTCGTGCGCCGAGGACGCCGCGGGCGACCGGGGCCTCGGAGGTCCCAAGGCCGCGCGGTGACGGGCCGCGCTGCGAGGTCGCTGGGGGAGTGCCGACGTCGCCACGCGGTCCGTCACCGAGCGGCGTTGGGCCGCTCCCCCACCCCCCAAAGGTGGCCCCCAGCCTGTCGAGGGCCGGAGCGGATTCGGTGCTGAGGGAGATCAGACTCCAGCGCGGCATAGATGCAGAGGACCAGGGGACAGAACGACAAGCGCGCGTGCAGACCGCGAATGGTGCCCTCCCTCCCTCCTCTCCTCTCCTCCCCCGAGGGGGGAGGGGGAATCGCGGACGTGTCGTGCAGGAGTTCCTTCCTGGGTGCAGTGTGCCCCCCCTCCGGAGGAGCTCGGCCTCGGCACCGCGCAGGAGGCGGAGAGGCAGAGCGCCGCGGGCGTGCAGAGCAGGATCGCGAGACTGGAGCGGAGCCTGCGGGAGGAGGAGGAGAGGCCTGTGCAGAGCGTCGTCGACGAGGTGGGGCACGCCAGAAAGGCCCTCGCCTTCGGCGCATCTCGCCTTCGGCGGAAGCCTGCGGAGGGCCGTCGGAAGCAAGACATGGGCGGGCGCGTTGGCGGAGGGCCGGCGGGAGGCGGCAGAAGCAGAAGTGATCGGGAGCCTGGAGACGGGGGTCAGTGCAAACGGGGGTCAGCCAGAGCGCCCGATCTTGCAGGATCCTGCAGGACCAGGGTCGCACTGACCCGGGTTTGGATCCTGCAGGATCTTGCAGGATCCTTCGCATTGACCCGGGCTTGGGCGCAGGATCTTGCAGGATCTGCAGGATTCTGCAAGGCCTGACTGACCCGGGTCTGGATTGACCCGGGTCAGAAGATCCCCGCCAGAAGTGAGACGTCCGCGTTTTCGCAGTTGGGGTTCCTGGAGTCGGCCAGGTGGCCAGAAAGCGCACGCAGGAGCAGCTGCGGGCCGAGATCGAGTCGCTGAGGAAGGAGAGGTCCCTGCTCTTGGCCGAGTTCCTCCCCGGCGGCGGGGGCTCCGAGATCTCGAAGCCGTTCATCTCGGGGCGGGCGGCGGGGGGGGGAGAGGAGGGGAGAAGGACGAAGCCTGCTGCAGCGGCCGATTTCGGACCCGCCGCCCCAGGCGCCCTCCTCGATACTCTTGTGGCCGCCTCCAGCGCCAGGAGGCGCCGGGACAACTTCACAGAGCCCGTTCCCCCTCCTCCCCGTGGGTACACCCTGAGGTCCGGCCCCGAAGAGGAATTGCAACATCGTAGAATTCGGGGGTCCCCGAACGGGGTGATGACCACACTGTGCGGTGAGTCGGTGGGGATTCGGGGTCACCGCACGGTTTTGGACTGGGACCGTTGGGTGAGGTCTTGGGGGATTTCGAGGTCACCGCACGGTCTGTCACCGCACCGTTTCGGGACTCCAAAAATTCACGACGGGAGCACTGTGGGCCTCACCGTCCTGCCTCTTCTTTTTTCTTTTTGCGCCAGATCAATCCGTGAGGGTCCCGGGGCCCGAAAGTGGGCGAAAGCGCTGGTCGTGAAAAACATGCTACGCCAGCCAGGATGTCAGGGCTTGGCCACACCCCATTTTGCGCCCACCCTGGTCGTCCCTGAGAACGGCGGCGTCTTCGAGTCGATCGTCGCGCCCAACGTCGCCCTGAGAGGCAAGATCGACGCGATGAGGGCTGCCGAGGGCGAGCTTCACATCATCGAGCACAAGGCGCGCGTGCACAAGCTCTTCAACAAGGTGCGCGAGTACGAGAAGGTCCAGTGCCTGGGCTACATCCTGAAGAGCAAACACGGGCATAAACTGGGGTGGAAGAGGTGCCGACAGTTACCGCGCTGCTCGTCCTGGAGAGCTCTCGCCGCCACAGCTGCACCCTCCTCAAGGGTATGTTCAGAACGCTCCCCGAGGGAGGCCCCGGGAGCAGCGGTATCGGCACCCCCTCGTTCTCCCAATGGTGGGCACGACGTCTCGGAGGTCCGCGCGCCCTTCCGGGGTCAGCCCCTGGGCACCCACACAGCGCCCAGTGAGCGGCGCCTCCTGCGCCATCCCCGGCGCACCAGGGAAGGGGCCCGGGGAGTCGCCTGGCGGCGCCTCCAGCACTGGCCCCAGGCATGCGCGCGGACCTCTGGGAGTCTCTGCCCGTGTCGAGCAAGCGCAGGACCGGGGTAGATCGTTCCGGGGCGTTCCGGGACGCTTCTTTCAGAACGTTCTGGACGGCGCCCTATCAGTTCCTCCAGAACCTCCAGTAGGGGGCCACATGCGAACCCTACCCCTACCCCCCACGATCTCTGAGGGGGAGGGTGGGGTTCACTTCGCTCGGGAGCTCCCGGTCGAAGTGAACCCCACCCTCCCCCTCATAAGTCGTGGGGGGTAGGGGCAGGGTTCGCATGTGGCCCCCTACTGGAGGTCTCAGAGAGTCCCGGCGTTGATCCGGTCCGATCTTGGTCCAGCCGGTTTCGTCTTACGCTTGGCGTTGCAAAGATACCGTGCGATGTGGCGCCAGCGACCCGCTCATTAAACGCGATCCCCCACCTCGAGGATAGCGCGCACCAAAGGAGCTCTGGCAGGGCACCAGCGTGCTCAGAAGGGGCCTTCGCGGGGGGGGACTACCTCACGGGGATAGCGTCGGAGGTCGGTGCTGCACGCTACCATGCCAACGCCAACCAGGCGTCGTGTGCCTGTGATTGCTCTTCTGACGTCCACCTGGTCCAGGACCACATGCGGCAGCGGGGGGATACGCCCCCCGTCCGGTGCTTCCTCGTCGAGACGCTTCGGAGCCAGAACTCGCGCCACGAGGTGCGGGCGGACCCGACCTTCTGGCGCGAGGTGCCGGGCCTCCACCTTCTCCTACTATACTCCTCCTCCTCCTCCTCCTCCTCCTCCTCTCCTCCTCCTCCTCCTCCCTCCTCCTCCTCCAACCTCCTCCTCCTCCTCCTCCTCCTCCTCCTCCTCCTCCTCCTCCTCCTCCTCCTCCTCCTCCTCCTCCCCATGATAATCAACGTCGCCGCCCGCTGCTGCGGCGGCGGGAGTGGACTTGGTGGTCCCGCTGGCACCACTCGTTTTTGGGGCCGCTCGCTCTCTGCTTCTCCATCCCCGTGTCTTGCCCTCCCCCCTCCCCCCTTGGTCCTCGGAAGCAGCGCTGCACGGTGGAAGAAGGCGGATGATCGGCTCAGGGGGGGACCCCTCGATTCGCAATCGCCCGTTCATCGCAGGTGAGGGCCCAATAGCCCCTCCCGCCCAGTGACGTGTGGATTGGCGATCGGGGACAGATCGCTGACTTATCGACGATGTATCGCCGATTCCAGGTCGACGTCCCTCCCCCCCTGAATCGGTCCCCCCCCTGCGTTTCCCCTCTTCTTTCCCCTCCTCCATCTGCCTTTTTTTTTGATCTCACGCTCCTCTGCCTCGTCCATCCCCCTTCCTTACAGATAACACACCTTTGTCACGCCACTAGACGCGTCGGCAGGACGGTCCAGGCGTTTCGCCTGAAACCCACCCTTTTATAGACATGAATGTTCACATTCCCTACGAGTTCCAAGACTGGATGGCGGACCCTCGTCAACATAAGGCTCTCTCTCTCATTAGCGCCACGCCATTCGTTTTAAAAAGCGCGCAGTACTTACACAAATGCAGGGCGGAGCCTCTTCAACATTGAGACCTCATCTCAGCGCCACGCACATTCATTTGGAAAGCTTGCAACATTTCCAGGGGTTGCCAGGGGTTTATGTTTCAAGTATGCGATTCATGCTTGCTGCTTGATTGCTTGGCGACCCAAAAGGTAATCTTGCGCAGTAGTTACACGGACGGGAGGCGGTTCCTCTCTCCTTTATGAAACGTGATTATCGTTGGATACTTTGTTGCATTTGATGTTGCTATTTTGGAAGTTCTTCCTGACTCGCAAAAAGTATGCAATTAAGTTCATATTCAAAGCGAGGCTCTGGCAGGCGCATGAGGTCATCGTGATTCAAGCTGGCGCTGTATCTAGTGAGGAGGTAGGCTTGTAGGGACTGTGAGGAGGGGACATGGAAAGGGAGAAGGTGTATTGCCGCATCGCTGATGTATCTTGCGCTTTATCGAGATCGTGATGCGACTGGCACGCGCGCGAGCTAACAGGGCCTTCATCAACACATGTGGAAGTTGTGACGAAAAGCCTAGGCTTACTCTGGACATCCCTCCTTCTCATCCACTCCTGTATCACCTCCCTCCTCATCCCTCTCCCGCTCCTTCTGCTGCTGATGCTGTTCCTGTTCCTCCCCCTCCTCCACCAGTTCCCTCTCCTGCTCCTCCTCCTCCTCCTCCTCCTCCTCCTCCTCTTCCTCCTCCTCCTCCTCCTCCTCCTCCTCCTTATCCTCCTCTTACACATCCCCCTCCTCCCCCTACTCTTCGGTCATCGGCGCTGTTCGGAGCAAGATCGACGAGCTCCAGGCGCTGATGAACGGAGGGCCGAGCGCAGCCAGAGTACTGTCGTGGCTGGAGAGGCTGTGAGCTGGCGCTCGCCCCCCGTGGGAGGAGGGAGACGGTGTGGGCAGGCAGGAGAGAGGGGGGAGGCAGGAGCTCCTCCTCCTTCTCCTCCGTCTCCTCCGTCTCCTCCTCCTCCTCCTCCTCCTCCTCCTCCTCCTCCTCCTGTCCCTCCTCCCTCCTCCCTCCGCCCTCCTCCCTCCTCCCCCCTCCCAGGCCGGGGAGGCGGGAGGTGTGTGGAGGCAGAAGGAGGACACGGCAGCCAGGAGGATAACGCAGGATGATGGATGATGGAGGAGGCAGGAGGAGAAGGGGGGACAGGAGGCAGGAGGAGGGAGGAGGGAAGAGTATGGAGCAAACATGGGGGAACAGGACTGGGAGGAAGAGGAGGACGAGGAGGACGAGGATGAGAAATCCCAGACTCGATGTAGGCTTAAAAGGGTGAACCCATATTTTAGGATGCGGCTACCATCATAAGTACTGAATCGTGAGATGAAGTATCCCCCGCTGTGTCGCGATGCGATGGGATCGATGCCCAGTAACTCCCCCTGCTGTAGGCCACATCCTTACAGTGATAGGCAGGACCAGCGCTTTTTTCTTCCGATGTGAGGATTCCCCTGAGGAGAAGAATTGTCACTCGACAAGGTCAGCCTTTCCACGTGCGGCTGAGACGGCCCACGATTAGGTCTGGCCGTGCCTCGGGAAAACGCTGGGACTGGATAATCTGGCCAGTCTGCTGTCCATGCTCGGTTGCCTGGGCTGCCCCAGCAGCCGTCGCCCTCCCGTGCACGGAGTGAGCGCTGTGCTCAGGCATCAAGGGCACGGTGGCGAAACCCCTCGCCTAGGCCAGGCGACCCCCTCGCCGAGGCCAGGCGTGTGCCGCACCTGGAGGCCCACACCTTGCGTGGCCCCCCCGGCGTCGACGGCACGACCCCGGGGCCGACCCGGGGGCCGCCACTCCGCGAAACCCTGCGCCCGGCCGGCAGAGGGCTCGCCCTATCGGAGTGAGGGTCGGGATCCGCCCCCGGCCCCCGCGCGGACATTTCAAAGGGGGACGACGCGAGTGGCCCAGAATCGGCCGATGCCAGACTCAGGCGATCGCAAGCATGGATCAAGGGGGCGTGGATCAGCGACGGGTCCCGTTTCCATGGAACATCGCGGGTTTCCGCCGCCGAACGGGGCCGCCCCGGCCGCATTTTGGGGAGGGCACCTCCCCCGATCCATGGACTCGGCGACCGCGCGCTATAATCCAGGGATCGCTAGTCCATCTTTGCGCGCCCCCGAGGATCGGCCGATGCCCGACGCACCGCGCAGTCGGAGAGCCGCGACCGCTCAGGGTTGAACGGCCCACGCGGTGTCAGAAGGCAGCGCCGACGTCGTCGCGGCACGGGTCCTGCAGCCCGACGGCGCCCGCAGACCGTGCCCGAGGGCCCTCGAGCCGAAAGCCCACGCGGAGCCCTCCGCACTGGGCGTGGGAGGATGCCACGCTCCGAGGGAAGTGCTCATCGGAGCGTTCCCAGACCCCCTCGAGGAATGAAAGAAACATGACGGGAGGTTTTTCCTAATTTTCGGCCTCCCGGGGCCATCACTGGGCCTCGGGAGCGTCAGAAAACGACTCAGGATGCAAAGCCGGTCCTGGGGAAAGGGTCGGGACCTCTGGGGGTCGACGCAATGAACAAATCATTTCGTCGGGGGTCTGGGTTGGGTGTCTCCCGACGGGCCGCCCGGTGCGTCCTCCCGATGAACTCTGCTGGGAGGCCATGCGCTCCTTCGGCATGGGGAGGAGGAGGTGGAGAATGAGGAGGAGGAGGAGGAGGAGGAGGAAGAGGAGGAGGCACGAGAATGAGGAGAATGAGGAGAATGAGAATGAGGAGGTGGAGAATGAGGAGGAGGAGGAGGAGGAGAAGGAGGAGGAGGAGGCAGGAGAATGAGGAGAATGAGGAGAATGAGAATGAGGAGGTGGAGAATGAGGAGGAGGAGGAGGAGGAGAAGGAGGAGGAGGAGGAGGAGGAGGAGGAGGAGGAGGAGGAGGGGGAGGAGGAGGAGGAGGCAGGAGGAGGGAGGAGGAGAGAGGAGGAGGAGGAGGAGGAGGAGGAGGAGGAGTGCCAAGAGGATGAGAAGGAGGAGGAGTCTCGCGCTGCGCGTCCGGTGCCCGCCAGGGGTTGCGCGGGCCCCGAGCGCAGCGGGGGCGCGGCGGCGGAGTGGCACGGCGCCGGCCGGGCGGGCCTGTGCGCGCACAGGGCACTTCTTTGCGGCCCTGCGCCGGCTGCTCCTGGGAGCGACGGCCGGCGTGCACGTCGGCCGGCGACCGAAGAACGAGCGGCTGCGTCGGTCGGGCCGTCCAGGAGGGGGGTGCTGACGGCGAGTCATCGCCCCCCTCTTGGAGGAGAGGGAGGACGAGGAGG